AAATTCGACCAATGAACGAATTTTTTCTATAGGAAAAAAATTCGACCAATGAACGAATTTTTTCTATAGGAAAAAAATTCGACCAATGAACGAATTTTTTCTATAGAAAAAAGTTCGACCAATGCAAATTTTTTTCTATGGAAAAAAGTTCGACCAATGAACATTTTTTCTAGTTTTTTTCTATGGAAAAAAGTCCACCAATGAACATTTTTTCTTGGTGAACTTTCTATGGAAAAATGTTCACCCATGAACATTTTTTCTATGGAAAAATGTCCACCAATGAATATTTTTTCTTTAGAAAAAGTTCACCAATGAAATTTTTTTCTATAGAAAAAAAGTTCACCAATGAAATTTTTTTCTATAGAAAAAAAGTTCACCAATGAAATTTTTTTTCTATAGAAAAAAAGTTCACCAATGAAATTTTTTTCTATAGAAAAAAGTTCACCAATGAAATTTTTTTCTATAGAAAAAAAGTTCACCAACGTGAATTTTTCTATAGAAAAACTTCACCAACGCGAATTTTTCTATAGAAAAAGATCACCAATGGAAATTTTTCTATTGAAAATGTTCTCCAATGGACATTTTTTTGTAGAATGATCAATTTCTTTAACAACTTATCAAAACTGAAGTATTATCTAAAAATTATTGATAATTTTTTGAATTGAATTGTCTCTGACCTTTGAAATTTGAATATGGATTATAAAAATTCTATTACCCAAGCACACACACGCACCATTGCTAAAATATATGTTTTTTTTTTTTTTTTTTTTTTTTAATAGTATTATCTAAGCCTTTTTAGTAAATATTTATTAAATTTAAATCTATTCATATTCAAAACGATAACTGTTGTTGTGTCTCCCCAATGATAAGTTGGTATTACCTTCAAGGGGTAGATTAAAAATTCCAAAGCATAAGGCAATCACCCCGGGCATATCTAACGGGTTGAGGGTCAAGTTGAAAATATTTATTTATTTATTTTTTTTTTTTTTTTTTTTTTTTTGTTGAATGATTTATTTGGTAGGGGAAATTTTATAAAAAAAATTCAAAAATGGTTTGAATTAATTTGGCCTTTAGAAATATTCAGACTTCTAACGGCCGTTACATATTTGGAGTTCCAGAAATAACGGCACCGTTTTTATCAAAAATAAACTTTGGCAATTTTTTGATTATGGTATTGCTATTTGATTTGGGTTTGGATTATAAAACTCAAAATTATTTTCGACAATTACCCAGTTTTTTTTTTTTTTAATAATCGGCAATTATAAATTCCAATGACACAATAAAATAATTTTTGTTTATTTTATTATTTTTTTCTTCGCGTCATAAAAAATAAACACTGCAGAAATTATAAATTCTATGGCCCATTCAAAATTAAAAAAAAAAAAAAAAACAACAACAACAGCAATAAAGGCCAAAACAAAATAACAGTTAGACCCCAAACTCCACCAACTTGGTAATGAGCTTCATTAAAAGTTTGTTTACAAATATGGCTGGTTGGTTGGTTGGTGGGTCGGCTGATCGGTTGCCTTGCCTTACCATGGCTAATTGTTACAGAATATGAATGACAGTAATGACACCTACATATAAAGGCCATTAACCTTTAATGAGTTTTGAATAGAAAAAAAAAATAAAAAATAAAAAATAATAAATAATCAATCGACCGACCAACCAACCGACCCAATATATCACTCAGCCATTGAGGGTATATTCCCAAAACTGGATAGTTTTTATTGTTTATTTATTTAAAATGCCTCAATTGTGGCACAAAAAAAAAAAAAACAATGGCAACACTCGCTTTAGACCAATAACAACATTGTTGACAAGCATAGAATAAATAAATCACAAATTTTATAAATAAACAAAAAAATATTTTCAAAATCATGTTTTAATTCACAATAAGTAGGGGCTACTAGTTTTGAGTCGCTCGCACTTTGCCGCGGAAATGAATGATGGGATTTTTCGAGTCATTGGCATGGGTGGTTAAAAAAAATACCATGACGGTGTGTCACTAGGTTTTATTTGTTTCAAAATATTTTTATTTCACTGGAATGCAGGAAATTATGGCCTTGAATTTTTTTCCATGGAAAATAAAAATTGGGGGAATTTTTTTGATACAAAATTATAAAATGTGAAATTTTTTAACAGAAATATTAAAATTTCTGAATATTTTTTATAAAAAAAATGTTCATTGGTGAATTTTTTTTTTCTATAGAAAAATATTCATTGGTGAAATTTTTTTCTATAGAAAAAATATTCATTGGTGAAATTTTTTTCTATAGAAAAAATATTCATTGGTGAAATTTTTTTCTATAGAAAAATATTCATTGGTGGAATTTTTTTCTATAGAAAAAATATTCATTGGTGAAATTTTTTTCTATAGAAAAAATATTCATTGGTGAAATTTTTTTCTATAGAAAAAATATTCATTGGTGAAATTTTTTTTCTATAGAAAAAATATTCATTGGTGAAATTTTTTTCTATAGAAAAAATATTCATTGGTGAAATTTTTTTCTATAGAAAAAATTTGCATTGGTCGAATTTTTTTTCTATAGAAAAATATTAATTGGTGATTTTTTTTTCTATAGAAAAAATATTAATTGGTGAATTTTTTTTCTATAGAAAAAATATTAATTGGCGAATTTTTTTTCTATAGAAAAAATATTAATTGGTGAATTTTTTTCTATAGAAAAATATTAATTGGTGAATTTTTTTTCTATAGAAAAAATATTAATTGGTGAATTTTTTTTCTATAGAAAAAATATTAATTGGTGAATTTTTTTCTATAGAAAAAATATTAATTGGTGAATTTTTTGTCTATAGAAAAAATATTAATTGGTGAATTTTTTTCTATAGAAAAAATATTAATTGGTGAATTTTTTTCTATAGAAAAAATATTAATTGGTGAATTTTTTTTCTATAGAAAAAATATTAATTGGTGAATTTTTTTCTATAAAAAAATATTAATTGGTGAATTTTTTTTCTATAGAAAAAATATTAATTAATATTTTTTCTATAGAAAAAAAATCTGCATTGGTGAATTTTTTTTCTATAGAAAAAATGTTCATTGGTGAAATTTTTTTCTATAGAAAAAATATTCATTGGTGAAATTTTTCTCTATAGAAAAAATGTTCCATTGGTGAAATTTTTTCTCTATAGAAAAAATGTTCCATTGGTGAAATTTTTTCTCTATAGAAAAAATGTTCCATTGGTGAAATTTTTTCTCTATAGAAAAAATGTTCCATTGGTGAAATTTTTTCTCTATAGAAAAAATGTTCCATTGGTGAATTTTTTTTCTATAGAAAAAAAATCTGCATTGGTGAATTTTTTTTTCTATAGAAAAAAATTGCATTGGTCAAACTTTTTTCTATAGAAAAAATTTGCATTGGTCAAACTTTTTCTATAGAAAAATATTTGCATTGGTCAAACTTTTTTCTATAGAAAAAAATTTGCATTGGTCAAACTTTTTTCTATAGAAAAAAATTTGCATTGGTCAACTTTTCTATAGAAAAAATTTGCATTGGTCAAACTTTTTTCTATAGAAAAAAATTTGCATTGGTCAAACTTTTTTCTATAGAAAAAATTTGCATTGGTCAAACTTTTTTCTATAGAAAAATATTTGCATTGGTCAAACTTTTTCTATAGAAAAAAATTTGCATTGGTCAAACTTTTTCTATAGAAAAAAATTTGCATTGGTCAAACTTTTTTCTATAGAAAAAAATTTGCATTGGTCAAACTTTTTTCTATAGAAAAAAATTTGCATTGGTCAAACTTTTTTCTATAGAAAAATATTTGCATTGGTCAAACTTTTTTCTATAGAAAAAAAATCTGCATTGGTGAATTTTTTTTCTATAGAAAAAAAATCTGCATTGGTGAATTTTTTTTTCTATAGAAAAAAATCTGCATTGGTGAATTTTTTTCTATAGAAAAAAAATCTGCATTGGTGAATTTTTTTTCTATAGAAAAAATATTAATTGGTGAATTTTTTTTCTATAGAAAAAAATCTGCATTGGTGAATTTTTTTTTTCTACAGAAAAAAAACTGCATTGGTGAATTTTTTTTTCTATAGAAAAAAATCTGCATTGGTGAATTTTTTTTTCTATAGAAAAAAAAATTCATTGGTGAAATTTTTTTCTATAGAAAAAATATTCATTGGTGAAATTTTTTTCTATAGAAAAAATATTCATTGGTGAAATTTTTTTCTATAGAAAAAATATTCATTGCTGAAATTTTTTTCTATAGAAAAAATATTCATTGGTGAAATTTTTTTCTACAGAAAAAATTCGTTCATTGGTCGAATTTTTTTCTATAGAAAAAATTCGTTCATTGGTCGAATTTTTTTCTATAGAAAAAATTCGTTCATTGGTCGATTTTTTTTCTATAGAAAAAATTCGTTCATTGGTCGATTTTTTTTTCTATAGAAAAAATTCGTTCATTGGTCGATTTTTTTTTTTCTATAGAAAAAATTCGTTCATTGGTCGATTTTTTTTTTCTATAGAAAAAATTCGTTCATTGGTCGATTTTTTTTTTCTATAGAAAAAATTCGTTCATTGGTCGATTTTTTTTTCTATAGAAAAAATTCGTTCATTGATCGAACTTTTTTCTATAGAAAAAATTTGCATTGGTTGTCGTTTAGACCCTAATATAACGGCTACATTCGGTATTTTTAAGATTCTTAACAGAATTTTTCACGGATTTTTTTTTTTTGAAATTTACCAAATTCGTTCCAAATGGTGGAGGGTATTGAAAGATCGGCCCGTCCGAAATTACAGCTTTTTTACTTGTTTCTATATAGAAAAAATTGAGTTGGTGAAGTTTTTTTTCTGTGTAGAAAAAAATCTGTTGCTGCAGATTTTTCCTATATAGAAAAAATCGCGTTTCTATTTAGAAAAAATCGCATTGTTTAAAATTTTTTTGATTTTTTTTATATTTTTTTATTTTTAAATTTTTTATTTTGTCAAACAAATATTTAATATAATATTTTTTCATTTTTCTATTTTCAGATTTTGCAAATTTCAAGTTTTTAATGTAACGGAATAATATTCGCTTTGTAATGAATGAAAGGTAATTTTAAAAAATATATTTTTATCGCTTAAAGGTATTTTTCTAAAAATATTTGTAGAAAATTATAGGTATTACATCAGCAAAAAAATATAAACAATTATCAATAATTTTTATTTTCATGATCAATGGGCTGTTATGTTAAAAACGTGCTACCAAAATTGCTCAGCTACTACTTTAGAGTAAAATAGCAGCAAGACACGTCAGGAGCACGTTTAAAAATCCTAAAAAATGTAGTAACTGTCCCTGAGGTATCAGAGTTATGTCATCCATCTTTACGGTATTGAATTGTGTGGGTTTTTTCTTTAAATAAATTTTATTATTTTATTAAAAAATAAATATTAAAAAATTCGTTAAGTGTAATAACCTTAACCTTCAAATATTTATTACAAACAAAATAATTATTTTTTTATTTTATTTTTGTGAGTAATATTTCCAATGCCAAAAAAATACAAAATTTAAAAAAAAAATATTATTCCGTTCACAAAATTTTTGAATCTTGTTTTTTTATGGTAGAATTTATAAGAAACGTGAAATGTATATTAATATAAATATTGGAATTATAAATATTGGATTTGCATTCTTAGAAAATTGGTTCGAAAAGGTCCAAAACTAGTTATAATGAGCGAAACAATAGTTCAACATTCCCTAGATTTCAAACCCAGTACCAAATTGTACCAAATATAGTACTATTAAGTACTAAGCCCGTGATTTAATTAAGACCATCAAAGAAGTCATTTATCTATTGAGGGAAAGTGCCAAAACATTAAAAGAGAGGAAGCCCTACCTAAGATTGGAGTGCAACAGAAAAATTTGAAGTCAGGTTTAATTAAAAAAAAAAAATAAATAAAAAATAATTTTTAAAAAATTTCGCGGTTACTAAAATTTTGGAAAAAATTTTGAAACTTCTCATATTTTGAACAAATATTTTTTAAACAATCCACGTTTTCTAATATTTTGAATAAATACTGTTTTTATCCACGCCATTTAATATTTATAAAAAAAAAATATTTTTTTAATAAAATCCACGCCATTTGATATTTTTAAAAAATATTTTTTTAAAAACCTAACATTTTTAAAAAATATAATTTTAAAAAAATGTAGGCTTTCTAATATTTTGAAAAAATATTTGTAAAAAAATACAGGACATACAAAATTTCGAACAAAATATTTTTTAAAAAAATCTACGTATTGTAATATTTCGAAAAAAAATATTTTTTTGTTTTTGTTTTTTTTTAATATTGTGAAAAAATATTTTTAAAAAATTATTTAAAAAAAAAATTCACGCCATCAATTTGTTGAGAAAATATTTAAAAAAATCCACGTCTTGTAATATTTTGAAAAAATATTTTTTTAAAAAAATACACTTCTTGTAAAATTTCGAAAAAAAAAAATTAAAAAATTCACGTCTTGTAATATTTTGAAAACATAATTCTAAAAAAACACGCCTTGTAATAATTTAAAAAAAAAATATTTATTAAAAATGCACGTCTTGTAATATTTTGAAAAAATAATTTAAAAAAAAACAACGCCTTGTAATAATTTTAAAAAAATATTTATAAAAAAATATACGCTTTGTAATTTTAAAAAAATAATTTAAAAAAACCACGCCTTATAATTTTGAAAAAATCTATTTTTAAAAAATCCACGTCTTGTAATATTTTGAAAAAATATATTTTAAAAAATCCACGTCTTGTAATATTTTGAAAAAATCCACGTCTTGTAATATTTTGAAAAAATAATTCTAAAAAAACCACGCCATCTAATTTATTGAAAAAATATTTAAAAAAAAAATCCACGTCTTGTAATATTTTGAAAAAATATTTTTTTAAAAAATCCACTTCTTGTAATATTTCGAAAAAAAATTAAAAAAAACCACGCCATCTAATTTATTGAAAAAATATTTAAAAAAAAAAGCCACGTCTTGTAATATTTTGAAAAAATATTTTTTTAAAAAATCCACTTCTTGTAATATTTCGAAAAAAAATTAAAAAAAATTCACGTCTTGTAATATTTTGAAAAAATATTTTTTTAAAAAATTCACATCTTGTAATATTTTGAAAAAATATTTTTTTTAAAAAATCTACATCTTGTAATATTTTGAAAAAATATTCTTTAAAAAAATCCACGTCTTGTAATATTTTGAAAAAATATATTTTAAAAAAAATCCACGTCTTGTAATATTTTGAAAAAATATATTTTTAAAAAATCCACGTCTTGTAATATTTTGAAAAAATATATTTTTTAAAAAATCCACTCCTTGTAATATTGTGAAAAAATATTTTTTTAAAAAATCCAGGACTTCTAAACTTATGAAAAATAATATATTTTTAAAAAATCCACGTCTTGTAATATTTTGAAAAAATATATTTTTAAAAAATCCACGTCTTGTAATAGTGTGAAAAAATATTTTTTTAAAAAATCCAGGACTTCTAAACTTATGAAAAATAATATATTTTTAAAAAATCTTGGGCATTTAAAATTATCAAAAATTATTTTTTAAAAAATCCCCGTCTTGTAATACTTGTGAAAAAATATTTTTTAAAAAATCCAGGACTTCTAAAATTATTAAAAAATATTTAAAAAAAAAAAATCCACGCCTTTTAATATTATACATTTTTTTTTTTTAAAAACATCACGTCTTGTAATATGGTGAAAAAATATTTTTTAAAAAATCCAGTACTTCTAAACTTATGAAAAATAATATATTTTTAAAAAATCTTGGACATTTAAAATTATCATGTAATATTTTTTAAAAAAATCCACGTCACGTTGCAATATTTTGATTTTTTAATACCACTTTTTAAAAAATCTACGCCATCAAATATTTTAAAAATATTTTTTAAACAATCTACGTTTTATCTCAAAATTTGAATTTCCAAAAATATATCCCGCACTCAATGACTCTCATTGCAAATTCCAGAATTCTAGCTCATTCCGTTTGTCCAAAAAAAAAATATTAAATTTTTAATACTTTTCGTACCCTTTAAGTATGATTTTCAAAAAAAAAAAAAAGAAAACGAATAGCCTTATCACCGGCATACGCAGATTTTCCTTGTGGTACTTTAAAATACTGGGATCAGCCGTTATGGGATTTTCCGATTTTCACCAAAATTGATGAACTTGCTTCTAGACTAAAATTGGTCGGATATGCCAAAATTCAAGTAATTTGGACTGGTATTGGCTATTTGGTGCAATTAACCCGAAATCGGTATGGGAGCTATATCCAAATTTGAACCGACCTTGATAAAATTTGGCAGAGGTATTTCTGGGCTATATCTGATACTAAATATCATTCTTGTGGAGTGCATATTACGAATGTGAACACCCAATCGGATGAAGCATATATATGGGAGCTATAGCTATATCTGAACCAATTTTCACCAAATTTGAAGTACTTATTTCTAGAGCGAATTCGGTTGAATGTGCCAAAATTCAAGTCATTTGGATTGATATTGGCCATTTGGTGCACAAATAACCTGAAATTGGTTGGAGATATATATGGGAGCTATATCTAAATTTAAACCGATTCTCATCAATTTCAATAGGGTTCGACCTTGGGCCAAATAAATATTTTTTTCATCTCAATCAGATAATAAATGACTGCCATGCCTAAATCGACTCAGAAAGTGATTCTATGGATATCCTCAAAAATAACTATGGGTCTATCTTGCTTCCTTCTCCAAAACGCCGAAAACTCAGTATTTAAGAAGTTATGGTCATTTTAAAATATTCAATAATTCATACCTAAAAAACGGATCTCTTTAGCCAGCTATATGGCATATGAGGGTATAACTAGAAAAAAATCTGTAAGTTCGCCGGGTCGAAATTAGAATACCCTCCAACATTTGGAACGAATTTGGAAATTTTCAAAAAAAAAATTAAATCCGTTAAAAATTCTATTAAAATCTTAAAAATACCGAATGTAGCCGTGCAACATCAAAATTATCAAAGTAACGAATAAAGAGAGGTACTATTATATGGGGGCTATACCAAAACGTGAACCTGCACAGACAATTTTCTGTCATAGGCTGCAGTATCCATTACGAACTTCAATTACCAAATTTGAAGCAATTCCGATGAATAATGTCGCTTAAATCATCAAAATACCGAATATCGGGGTGATCCGTTATATGGGGGCTATACGAAGACGTGGACCTGCACAGACGATTTTCTGTCATAGGATGAAGTATTCATTACGAACTTTAAATACCAAATTCGAAACAATTCCTGTGAATAATGTCTCTGAAATCAGCAAAATACCGAATATCGGGAGGAACCGCTATATCGGGGCTATAAGAAGACGTGGACCTACCTTGCCCATTTTCTGTCTTATGCTGTAGTATCCATTACGAACTTCAATTGCCAAATTTGAAGCAATTTCGCTGAATAATGTCGCTAAAATAATCAAAATACCGAATATCGGGAGGTACCATTATATGGGGGCTATACGAAGACGTGGACCTACATTGCCCATTTTCTGTATTATGCTGTAGTATCCATTACGAACTTCGAATACAATTCCGGTAAATAGTGTCTTTAAAATCATCAAAATACCGAATATTGAGAGATACCGTTATACGGGGGCTATACGAAGACATGAACCTGCACAGACAATTTTCTGTCTTAGGCTGTAGCATCCATTACGAACTTCAACCTCCAAATTTGAAACAATTCCGGTGAATAATGACGCTAAAATCATCAAAATACCGAATATGGGGAGGTACCGTTATATGGGGGCTATACGAAGACGTGGACCTGCACAGACAATTTTCTGTCTAAGGCTGAAGTATTCATTACAAACTTTAAAAACCAAATTTGAAACAATGCGGGTGAATAATGACGCTAAAATCATCAAAGTACCGAATATCGAGGATTTCCCTTGTATGGGGGCTGAATACTTGCCTAAAAGTATGCATCACTCTTTAAACATGTAATTTGCTATTGTGAATTGGTTATATTTGGCCCATGCAAAACACTGTCTCACCATGTCATGCACTGAC